ATTAGATCAATAGGAAGCGGTTAAAAAGACGGAAGCGGTTTTTTTAGCCCCCCTGTATATCTTATATGTTGTTGTTTTTCTAATAAATTAATCATTATTTATTGTTTTAAAATAACACATCAATTTTTTAATAATTAAACTTACATTAACACCTCAATCGTATTATAAACTTTAAATCGATAAACCATTTGACAAAAAAATAAGCTTTGTGTTTTGCAATACATATTAATTTAAAACAAACTTATTGATATAAATCTTATTTTTATGACATATAAACATGAATTTGGACATTTTAATTTTAATCTTTTTATTTGTTTCTTATATAAACATTTCAATATGGAATGAATTAATATTTATTTAATATTGATGATCTAAGACATAAAACAGAACATTTCAAAATTATTGCATTATTTATATATTTTTTATAAATTATTAATTTATTATTATAATGTCTTTTTATTTGTAAAAATAAGAATTACAATAATTATTTAACAAAAAATCGAAATAATTTAAATTTGGATTTTGAATAATTTGACGATATTTTAATCAATAACATCTCTATTATTTTTAAATGAAAAAATATAGTCAGTCTAAAAACTTTGTTAGGTAATTTTTTGGATCATCAAAACTGGAATATTACGGGGAACGGTTCAAAACATTTAAAAAACATTGTTTCACATTTTTTACTGGGATTTTCAACTATTTTTCCTAATCCCCAAATTTTTAAACTTATTTTGTGTAAATTTTTGTCAACTGGACAATGTTTTTAGACTTGATAAAATTTTCATTATTTCAAATTGACAAGCCGAACTCGAAAAAAAATATAAAGTTCTAGACTTTATTAAATTTTTATTAAAATATTTTAATTAAAAACCGTTTTTTTAATTTAGAAACAGTATATTATTAATTTAAAGATTAATATAAATATTATAAAAACCTTTAAAGATTCCAATGTTATAAAATATGATGTTATTGTATTAAAAATAATTGCTTAAAAACAATTCGATTTTCAAAAAGTTTTCAAAAAGTTTAAAATACGAAAACCGAACTTTAATAATAAAAATGTTTCTCATATATCTCTCACTTCTTTCAATTGCGTCCGAGTTGCCATATTGTGATACTGTCCACACCCCAAACAAGATTTGTGAGAAGTGTACAAGCAACTACCTTCTAATCAATGCCAAGTGCCACTTTGCATATGAAAATGGATGTGCCAGTGTATTAACCAACAAGTGTTCTGCGTGTATGCGCGGGTATAAAATGGATGTTGAGAATGGTGTTTGTGTTGTTGGTGATGAATATTGCAACAAAGGTACTTCCCGTGAGTTGGCCTGTCAGACGTGCAGAGCCGATTTGACTTCCATAGATCAGAAATATTGTTTAAATTGCACTACATCAAATCCGGGGTGTGTCACTGCAGATGGCAAATGTGACAATTGCAACAAGTGTAAAGACGGGTACTATCTCTCTGGTAAGACCTGTGTGAGAATTCCCAATTGCAAGCTTTCTGGCAACGAACAAGCACAAGAAGACAAGACTGTATGTAAAGAATGCATAGATGGGTATTATTTAGACTCCACTAAAAAGTGTGTTAAAGGTGCTATAGCCCACTGTCTTTCTTATTCATCAGCTTCAATTTGTCAGAAGTGTGAAACCAGTTATTTAACAGTTAACAACAAATGTACTTTAATGGAAGGGTGTAGTGCATTAACACTTGAAAAGGACAAGTGCAACAGTTGTACATTAGGATATGGACTTGACTCTGGTATGTGTAAAAAGTGTTCAATAGATCATTGCAAAGTGTGCGGCACTAACTACAAAGAGTGTACAATGTGTCTTGATGAGTACAGTAAAGAAGATGATAAATGTGTTCCATGCACTTCACCCAACTGTAAAGTGTGCAACTCAATTGACAAGACTAAATGCACGTATTGCCTTGAAAGGCTTCACTTTAAATAGAACAAGTGGTTTGTGTTACAATTGTGATGCAAGTTGTGCAGAGTGTACTCCAATGACCCCAAACAGTGCA